CCTCGTTCCTCAATTCAAGGCAAGATATATACTGCCTAAACCCTGAACTACCCTGAAAGTCGAAACCGAATCACAAAACCGTGCCCTTAAGGTTCAGGAAGTTCTGCTTTCGGTTTCCCCGACCTGAAGCTACATGCCCAACCCCCCAACCCAAGACCTTTCAATCCTGGAGCCGGTACTACCAGCAACAACAGTGCGTTGTATTATTGTCTTGCTTGAGTTTTAGAAGCGACGACCCCCATGCAGATCTCATCCTAAGTGCATGCAAGTACAAGCCTAGCATCCTATCATTTGCAGTAATACTTCTTGAAAGCACTTCAGCCCAAAACAACGAACCCAAAAACATGAACTTCTAAAATATCTTGAAACCAAAACCCAAAAGCTTCGGCTGTAGGGGTCCTGCACAGCATTGTCCTTCAAAGGCGAACCTTTAGCACTACACTGCAACCTTGAACTCGGAGCCCATAAAGAGTTTGTGTTAGTTAATCCCGAATTAAAGTCCCGACCCAATAGCATAAGGCTGTGGAGCTTCGAAGCGCACAAGTCTGCAGAAGAACCTAAATGCCAAATCCAGAAACCTAACCCCGGGAACCCCAGACCCTCAGCCCCTAATAAAATCTAAGCCCTAAAATAAGCCTTCAGTGTACAGACTCTTGGTTAAGCCTCCCTCCTAAAGCCCTTAAAGTTTCAATTCGTGGCTTACACGGCAAGGATCATGGCCTGAACATATTGGTCTTTGTTGGTCTACTTGATACTACATATAAAGTAGAATACACCTTCGAGCACACCTCTGCTCGTGAGTCAATCCTGGGCAACCTGCTCTCGTATGGGTACATTTCTACTCGGGCGATATTATGATAAGGTGTAATTGAAGGTCTTGATATAATGAGGAGTAAGGAGGCGCTTTCAAACTCTTAGGTGTGGCTTTGTTTGTTTTTTTTTTGTATGGGAGCCTCCCAACCGCCATGCCCGGTACTTTACGCAAACGAGCAGAGCCGTGAATTCCAATGCATTTGATCGGTCACATGCAAATTATGATGCTCATGATGACAAACTGTCCATGCCACCCATCATGTCATAAATCTGTCACCACATTATTGTGTTATACTCAAAAAAATCACTTTTCAAATGACCCTCATTTTTCCTGATGATCTTGATGCTTTGGATGACCTTGATATAAACACTGCTTTTTGATGGCTCAAACATGATGAAGGCCACCACGTCCCCAAGGTCTGGAGAAGAGTGCGTTTGGTCGCGTTGGTGTGTGTGGCGCGTGAGCGTGTTATTATAGACATGTGTGCGGTGAGTGAGGCGAGCTCCCATGCGAGCTCCCATATGCGCGCGCGGCATCCAACAGATGTAAGTTATAAAGCTCGTTAGACAGGGCGTTTAAAGTCTTCCGGAGGTGGCCGGCGAGCCCCCCACGCGTGCGCGGGGCATCCGACAGAGCTTTCTAGACAGGGCGTTTACTCGCGTTTACATTCTTTTGGAGGGTGGTGGCCGGCGAGCCCCCCACCGCGCGCGCGCGAGAGTGCGGCATCCGACAGAGCTTTCCAGACAGGGCGTTTAGTCGCGTTTACAGTCTTCCGAGGTGGGCGGGTGGCCAGCAGTCGCGTTTACATTCTTCCGGAGGGTGGTGCAGAGGCCCCCAGCGCGCGCCTGCGCGCGCGGCATCCACAGAGCTCTCTATATAAGTCATTATAAGTCTATAAAAACATGGCGACTGGTCGTGTTTACGGTCTTCCGGAGGGTGTGGTGGCCGGCGAGACCCCAAGCGCGCGGCATCCGACAGAGCTCTTTAGACAGGGCATTTATAATAGTCGCGAGTCGCGTGTACAGTCTTCCGGCGAGCCCCCCAACGCGCGCGTGGCATGCGACAGAGCTCTCTGTAAAAGACAAGGCTTTTAGTCGCGTTTACAGTCTTCCGGAGAATGGTGGCCAGCGAGCCACCCGACGCGCGCGCGCGCGTGCGCGGCATCCAACAGAGCTCTCGAGGCACAGGGCGTCGTTTATTAGTCGCATTATACAGTCTTCTCGAGGGTGGTGCATGGCCGGCGAGCCCTCCATTTCGCGCACGGCATCCGACAGAGCTCTCTACTAAGATTGTGCGTTTGGCTTAAGTTAAGATATAGATGTTACTAGGGGGTTAGGTATGTTAGATAAAAAGTTAGCATAAGTTAAAGAAAGTTAACATAAGTTAGCAAAAGTGAACTTGTGGGTTAAAAGAAACAACGATGGGGTGGCGGGGTCGTGGGTGGTGGTAGCGGGTGGTGAGGCGGTGGCCATCGCCAGCCACCACCAACCACCCACCAACCACCAGCCACCACCCACACCAAAATGCGGCAAATCCATTCCCAGCAGAACTTTGCGCGCAGCTGATTAGTGCATCCACAGAAATTTTCGGCGCTGCACCAGCCACCACCCACGCCACCCACGCCACCCACACCCCACGCCACCCACACGCCACCCACGCCACCCACGCCACCCACCACCCACCATCCACCACCCACCCCCCACCGCCCACCACCCACCACCCGCCACCCACTCACCACCCACCACCCACCACCCACCACCCACCACCCACCACCCACCCACCCACCCACCATCCACCACCCACCACCCACATCACCAACCACCACCCCACGCACCGGGTAGTGGGGTGGTGGGGCGGTAGGGTGTGGTGGGTTGGGGTGGGTGGTGGGGTGTAAGGGCGGGCTGGGGTGGGGTGGTGGTGTGGGAGTGGTGGGGTGGTGGGGGGTGGTGGGGTGGTGGGGGTGGTGGGGTGGTGTGGTGGTGGTGGGGCGAATCAGGGGGTGGAGTGCTAGCCGGCTCCAATTCCGAGGCCTGGAAATATGAACTCTTTATGAACTTTTCAGGCCTGGAAATATGAACTTTTTATGAACTTTTCAGGCCTGGAAATATGAACTTTTTATGAACTTTTCAGGCCTGGAAATATGAACTTTTTATGAACTTTTCAAGCCTCGAAATATGAACTTTTTATGAATTTTTCAGGCCTCGAAATATGAACTTTTCAGGCTTGGATTCATTGTAAATACCAATAAAACACAAAAAATATGAACTTTTTCCGGCCTGGAAATATGAACTTTTTATGAACTTTTCCGGCCTGGAAATATGAACTTTTTATGAACTTTTCGGGCCTCGAAATATGAACTTTTTATGAACTTTTCAGGCCACGAAATATGAACTTTTTATGAACTTTTCAGGCCTGGACATGTGAACTTTTTCTGAACTTATCCGGCCTGGTTCCTGGCTTTATGAACTCGGGGGTGGTGCTGGCGGTGGTGGCGCGGGCGGTGGGGGTTGCTGATGGTGGTGTCGGTGGTGCTGGTGCTGCTGGTGCTGGTGGTGCTGCTGTGGTGGTGGTGCTGGTGGTGGGGGCGGCGGCGGCGGTGGTGCTGGTGCTGGTGCTTGGTGCTGGTGCTGGTGCTAGTGCTGGTGGGTGCTGGTGCTGGTGCTGGCACTTCCGCTAGCGCTGGGGCTGGTGCTGGTGCTGGCGGTGGTGCTGGCGGAGGTTTCCCAAGCCCTACACCCCAAACCCAAGCCCCTAAACCCTGAACTCTAAACATGCGCTAGTGGTGTTCCTAACGTCCTAGACATGCTGTTGTTGTTGCTGTTGGTGGTGGTGATGTTGTTGTCGTGGTGGTTGCTGTTGTTGCTGCTGTTGTTGTTGTGGTGGTGGCTGCGGCGGTGGTGTTGGTGTTGGTGAATGCTGTGGTGATAGTGTTTCTACACTCCACACCGTACCCTATACCCCCTAAACCCTATAACCCTGATGCTGGTGCTGGTGCTGGTGATGGTGGTGGTCCTAAACACCTGAACCCCCTAAGCCCATAGCATCTGCTCTTATCTTTGTGGAGCACAGAAAAGAACAGCATCAGTGACAAACAACGAAAACCATGTAACACAAAACCGACATAAAACAAAAAAAGTTAGAATAAGTTAACATAAGTTAACATAAGTTAGAATAAGTTAGCTAAAAAGTTAACTTAAGTTAGTAACTTCTATTTCTTCCAACCAACCTTCTACTAACTTCCCCCAAGTTAGTAGGGGCTTACTACATGGATGGCAAAGATGTAAGGGGGTTACAGCGGGGTTATAAGGGGGTTACTAACATCTATATCCTAACTTAGGCCACACGCACAATCTTAGTATAGACAGGGCGTTTAGTCGCGCTTACGGCGTTTACAATCTTCCGGAGGGTGGTGGCCGGCGAGCCCTGCAACGCGAGCGCGGCATCTGACAGAGCTCTCTAGACAGGGGGTTTAGTCGCGTTTCAAGTCGTCCGGAGGGTGGAGCGCGGCGTTTACAGTCTGTGTGTGGTGTGATGGTGTGAGTGCTCATTGAGGATGAGTGCATGCAGTGACAATGATGTGTGCGGTGTGAGCGACCATGAGGATGAGTGCGTAATGTGTGCATGGAGTCAGATGGCGGAGGGGGAGAGGAGGAGGAGAAGGAGGAGCGGGAGAGCCCCCAAAATAACAACCCCACACAGAGACGTGGGGAAGAAAACTACATGCATGTGAGCATTGTCGTGTCTCAGGTCCTGGCCAGTGATTGGTTGATTGAGCGAGCGAGCGAGCGACGGAGCGACAACGGGAGTCATGCGAGATTTTCGGCCGTAGGACCTATGGTAGAGGAAACCTAATCAGCAAGAGGCCCTGGTCAGTCGCTCATCTGTGGTTTCGTTGCGGTGATTTATTTTCTTTGAAACAAAGCATCCCAATCATCCCGATCCCAGGCCGCTGTATGTAAGATTGAAACTCCACAATGTCCGCATCGGCTTAATCCTTCAAACTTCCATCTCCAAAGTCGCAATTCAAAATGGCAGTGCGGTTTTGCATCAAGACGCCATGAATGCGCGCGCACTTCCATACCGTAGCCTTGCAGCCATCAGCTCCTCAAAGTTTGTGGAATTCTACATCTGTTTCACCATGCATCTGCCATGGCTGGTTGTGCTGCCTTGCGTCGTCAGTGCGCACATGCGCGGTGTAACTTCCAACACCAAGTTCCTGGACATTCAGTTTCTGACAGAAGAAGATGTCGATGAAACGATTGTGCTGAAGGCCGGCTTTGCTGCCAGTGCGAGTGTGAATAGGATGCATGTCGGCCACAGTTCTTTTTGTGCTACGATGAGTGGTTTCGTTCCGTGCGTAGCAGGTCGACAGCAAGAGGCTAGCAAACATCCGGTCGGGGCTGGAGACCACGTACACATCCCTTCCCAAAACGGATGGCCACTTGGCACAACAAACGCTGCGCTACGTCTAGGCCTCGGGTATCCTCGCGGCCAGACTTGTTCTTATGAGCGCTTGCCAGTTCCGAGGTCTTGCACCGCTACTTTTTGAACCAACACGGATGGTTAATCAAGGCCAATCCGCGCATGCACTCGTGCAGCCGGCAGGGCTTGTTGTGCAGGGCCTTGAGCCGCAGAACACGTCGTGGACACATCAGACCCAGCGGATCCAGAAGGAGCATAGAGCAAAAAGCGTTTGTATTGTGCAGCGGATCAGAATGTGTTTGATTTGCGAGGACTGGTCGAGTTGGCTCCCGTCCTACCTCCAAAAGCACTTCGAGGAGTGTTTGAGCGTTTTGGCATCTCGTCTTGTTCGAGAACATACGGCGTTTCAAGGCGCAGATGCAGCGGGGCACGGAACTCTCGGCTCTTGCAGTTGCTTGGTGCAGTCTTACTGTAGAGCTCGGATGTCTTTAGCCCGGGGGTGCTTCAAGCGGTCTCAGGAGATGGTGGCCATCATAGAGGACTTGGTGCACAAGGAGGTGTTGGCTTTGGGTGGGCATGTTTCGGTGCCTTCTCACTCGCTCTGCCAGGCGGAGCGCCAACTGCAGGAAATCTACGAAGCGATGGGAAAGAGTGCGGAGACCGTACTTGATCGCTCGGCCGCCCTCGAGGCAAGGATGCTGCAACATGGGATTACATGGATGCTCCCGCAAATCTCCGACCACCAGAATCATCCAGAACAGGTGATCGACATGTACGCCCTGTGCTACACTTACAACAGTCAGTGATCATCGTCAACCTTTGCAACACTTTCCTTTTTGTTGATTGCTCTGCACAGGGTGTTTCTCGTTGCTCGGAACATCTCTGTGGCAGACCCGGTGAAGAATCGCAAAAGGCGGGCTCAACGGACCTCGCTGGATGAAGAGTTGGAAACACGAAGTGCACCAGGTTGTTGGGCTTCCGGAAGAAGTACCACGGCTTTGAAGAGATGCATAGGCAGGCACTGACGTTTGTGCATTGACGATGCCTTGAGCCGACCAGCGCAGGTGGTTGGAGGCGGCCGGAAATGCTTTGCGAGAGTTCTGGCTCCTTCACTGGTCATGCGCACCTTTTGTCGCTGTGAGGGCTTGGTGGAGGAGCACTTGGCGAACAGTGATAGCGATTCCGGTGTGGATATCGGACGCCTCAAAGAGGCACGGCATGGCCCAGCTAGATAGTTGTCGTGATTCTTGTCAGATGCCCAGCTTGGGCTGCAACTTCGTACAAGTAGTGACAGATGGATGGACAAGTAAATGCCGAGGACTTCGGACCAAGATGTGTGGAAGATGGAGGCTAACTAGACTCTACCCTATATCAATCCGTGGAAGGGGGAAAGATTTTTGCATGGCCCGACCGTGTACGTCTGTCCTGAGCTTGTGGTTGTCGACAACACGCTGTGCCAGGTTGGCAGGAAAGGTTCTGCTAAAGGCGTTGCGGCTTTGCTTCCTCATGGGCTCACGAAAGACTCCAGACCTCAGCTGTTCTCAGACAGCTCGTCCGGATTGCTCAAGCTGTGAGAATCGGAATGTTCTTTGATGCCAGATCCAGTATCTAACGCATGTCTTTTGTGTGGACGGAGGTGGTGTGGGAGGTTGGCGACCGATACCCAGAGTTCAACGACCAGGAGCGGGCACAGTTGAACTACATTGCATGCCTTTTTCCTTTGCAAACTTAGGCACACGTATGCCGAGCATGAGGGCGGGCATTCTGTTCTGCTCAAGGAATGTCAGCAACTCAAGCGGACTTTGATGGACATGGAGGGGGGAAGCCGCAAAGCTGGGCGGATTCCCCTTGCGGACTTCTACAACAAGCCTTGTGCCCACACAGCTTTGCTGACCATCTCCCGTGCAGAGAGTACGAGTACGGCTTCAATATGAGAAAAGACACGAGCATGCGAGGTCCAACCACAACCATTGGAGGCCAAAGCCTGTGGATTTCACTTCGGGGATTCTCCGGTTTTAATCTCTGCCCCAGATAGATTTCCGAGGTTCACTGAGAGCCCGGCCCGGTTCTCAGATGGAGGGGCCAGCTTGCGCAATGCCACGTGCTCTCTCGGAGCCCTGAGGAGTATCTCCGAGACCTTGCCCCGTGGCTGAGAGAGCCTTTGACATGTCATGTGCAAAGCATACACATGCTTCGACGGCATGCATGCATATGTAAATGTACACTAAGACGATGTCCCAGGGAGTGAATATACACACATATGTAACCATTAATATATATATATATATATATATATATGCACACGTCCTTCTTTGATAGCCAGGGACCCTGGAGTGCCGAGTCTCGGGGCAGCGCTGTTCTTTCAGGGAGCCCTGGACGAGACGGACCCTCAACGGCCGCATGTGTTGCTGGCAAACTACCTGAGCAGCCTGCCACCGAGCTGTGGGTCGAGCATCGAATCTCTCCGCCGGTGGTTTTGCAATCGAAGCGAGGCTTCAACAATTGCCTTCGAGCCACGAGCCTCTATGCAGCCGATGCCTCGAGCGTTGCGCCCCGCGCATTTGCTACTGTAGCTTCCGTTGTACAAGGTCTGCTGCCGCAACCCCTGTGAGGGGTTGATGGCGTCTCTCGAAAGAGAGGTGCGAGATCTCGCGAGCAAATCTGGAATTGCGTAGCCTTTGTTGCCAGGTCGGTGCACCCTATGCGACCCCGGACCAGCTCGCTGCGTTGGTGGCGAACCTGTCCACTGACACTATGCTCCTCGGCGAGTCTGGGCCGTGTGCGCTCTTCAACTCTGTGATGCTGAGGGCCAAGCGCTCGAGCCCCGAGAAGTTTGAGGAGGGAGACTAGTGACTAGTGCGGGACACAGGCCGGCAGGCGCCGGTCGCGGCGTATCCCTTGGCCAGGCAAAGCTCCTGGAGCGCTTGCGCTCCATCGGAAACGACGAGGGCCAGGCACAACAGTGGTGCGGAATCATTCATGGACGTGAACTCGGCACCTGCCAGGTGCCACTGCACGGACGTCTCTTTGCTCAGTGGATGTGACCTGGCAGAGCCGAGGGGCGAACAGACAGGGTGTCGCCGTATCGTGTTCCGAGGCACCATGCCTTTCCCCGTGAGTGCCCATATCCGCATGCTGCTGGCGTCAGCGGCTCGAAGCCACAGCACATTTGGTCGGCACCATGTTTCTGCGTCACGCGCTCAGACGACGAATCCGCAGACGCCCGTCGACGACTCAGGGCTTGCCAGGGGCGTGCAAGGGCCACAAAGATGTTTCCAAGCCAGCTGCAAGATATCGCAAGCCAGATTCTGTCCGCAGGACGAATGGATGAAGGCAATGGGCAAAAGCACTGCCATATCTGAGGAGCAGAAGCAGGAGATTGCTTTTCAGCGGCAGCAGGAGATGTGTGTTCCTGCGGCTTCAGATCGCTGTGTGCAATGTGCTGGTAAGGTTGCGGCCTACTGCCCTTCGGATCCGGAAGCTCACAAGGCCACGCGCGAGTCCTGCGAGCATCGTGCACAGCAGCTGTCCAGAGCCATGCCTTACATTATTATCGTATATTAAACATGTTATGCATTATTTTAATTTGTATGTGCCTTTACATACATACATACATACATACATACATACATACATACATATATATATATATATATATATATTATACAGAAAAAATGCACATACATACTATATGTTTACAACAGACGTATATCCCACCTCTGAAGCGAGGCATCGAAGGAGTGCCACGTGCCGTCCTTGCCATCCCATCTTTCTGCCAATCGCACTGTGAGTTACAAGCTCTGGATGAGGCCGAGACGGCGGAGCTTCCTTGGAGTGATCGGGAGGCATCGGTGGATCGAAGGTGTAGCACTGTTGGTGCTCTTCTTCTGATCTTCTCATGCTGTGGTGTCTTAATCGTCTGTCTGATAAGACGGGGGCTGGTGACTGGGGCTTCTGGCCGCTGCCTTGCCTTTGACGATACTCGTACTTCTTTTGAAGTCGAAGTGGCCTCCTCATTCTGGATTGTCTTTCGACGTCTTTCGTGGTTCCCGAGCTGCTACTATTCCTTCCACTGCCACTTCTCGCCGACCACCGCCACAAAAACAACTGGTGTTGGGGGTTGTTTCATGAGGCGAAGCGAAGCCATGGAGGTCTTGCAGTCGTTGAGCCAAAGCACATGCTGCTGTTCGTCTGTTTTAAGACTTGGGTCTTGACTTAGTGACTTACTGTAGTGCGCCATTTCTGCCAGAAGTGTGGAGCAGAAGTTTCCTTTGAGGAGCTGCTGGCAGTCCACGCCAGCGCTGCGGCCGAAGCCTCACACCACGTGGCTTGCTCTGGCTACGCCGCCAACGAGGAATTTACCCACTTGGATGACGAGGCGACCGTGCACGGGGAGACGAAGACGAAGGAAGCTGACTGCTTCGGCTGGTTTTGTTTGGCGCGACGCCTCGCCGGACTCCTGGGGCTCCCGTCCTGTTGTGTAAGGGGTCAGCTGCTTAGCTGCTGTTGCCGCTGTTGCCCCATACCTTCAGGTTCCAGGCTTGGCGATCCTACTCTGGCACCGCAAACTAGCAAAGCTGCGACATGGCCTTCTCCTCGATTCTCGGCCTCTGAACAGCCTAGACAACACCGGTGGAAATAGCAGCAGCAGCAGCAGCAGCAGCAGCAGCAATTGGCTTACTTACCAGTGGCAGCCATGGGGAGGAGCGATGCAGTGTGATGATGCTGATGGTGAGAAGATCGTGTTGATTGTGATCTTATGGTGCTGGGTGATGCTGCTGATAGGTTGCTGGTGCTGGTGCAGCTGAGCATGCTGCTGGGGCTGGTGATGGCGAGGGTGATTGGAGCGGATGACACCGAAGACGAAAGGAGCTTGAAAGTGTAGTGGTCTAGTTCAACAACCGATAGTGTCGGCTCAACCAAGGGCTTCTTGTCCTGGATCGGCATTGCTTTGGAGCTGGTCGAGACTCGTCTTGACACCTGTGAGTCCAACAGCCTAACTTGCTGAGAGCCAGACGACCCTGAGCTTTCGCTGCGGCAAGGACTTCCGTGTTGTGGTGGCATCGGGCCTTCTGTACCTGCTCTGGCAGAAGGCAAGGTCCTCAACGGGAAGCTGCACATGGCGAGATGCCGAAGGATGTCATGATTTTGGTCGGCCTGTCACATTGTTGAAGTGCTTTCGGTTTCCTTGCAGAAGAGGCCACCAGTTCCCTTGTGGACAAGATAGAGACGAAGACTGAGAAGTGCGAGGTGTAGGGTGCAGAGCCAGCAGCCCAGTATTGATATGGTAGATCCGAAACTTTGAGTCATACCCTGGGAAAATCCCAGCAGACACCGCTTTTTCACGAAAAGTTTACAATCCGCTGATTTGCTGGCCGGTCCGTTTTTCTTGTTCCGGGACAGTCCTGCGCCGTGCTGACAATGCCGACGTGACCTTGGGCTTTCAGCTGGCGGGCAACCCTTCCCACCTCTTTTCCACAAATGCCAGGCTACAGTGCAGAAGAATGGGAAGTCAGGGAGCAGCGCGATTTGGCAATTGGTTGCGTCAGGTTGGCTGCTTTTGGTAACGAGTACCCTGGCTTTGGCCGGAGCCGTGCCTGTCCGGCCCACAGTATGCGCACCAGGAAGGCCGGCCACTCGCGATGAGCTGCGCTTAGGAGCGAGGCCTTCGAACCATTCTGGATCTCGATGACGTCTGTCAAATGCGGCAAGGCAGGCCTGTTCCTGGAGTTCCCCTAGGGTGCCTCTTTGGCAGAAGTGAGGTCTCCGTCCCAGCTGTGCATTCAGTGCTATCCAAGTTCGAGGGCAGCGGGACCAGGACTCTCGTGCGAGCCGAGGCAGCCGAGACTCTACGTAAGACTTCAAAGTTAAGCTTCTTCTAAAGGACCTGGCCCTGCTGATGGACGACGAGGAGTGGCAAGGCTGCACCGAAGCTGTTGCGGCCTTGATCTCTGCGATCGCAGTGCTTCATCGACAGCGGCCACTACTCCCTCAGCAGCACCTTGCGCACCACAGTGCGTTCAGAGGCGGAGCCTTTTTGGGAGCAGTTGCTCTCTAGCGAGTTTGGGCTTGCTTAGCTGCTTGTGCTTGAGGCTAACAGTGTCGACCTGAACCAGACACAGCACGGTGAGCTCTGATGCTGCGCATTAGTAGTTCTGCAAGCGCGAGCGAGTTGTATAGTTGTTCTTCAGCGCTGTACACGTCTGTGTCTGTGCCTTCAATTTGAGGTCCAGCGGCGTCCGAGCCAGAAAACTGTAGGAAAATGGAAGGGACAGGGTGAGATTTGGGCTGAGAGAGTGCGCAAGCACAGTCGGCATCAGCGTTCAAAGGGGAAACCTCGTGCAAACCTCTTCTATCTTCATTGTCATGTCCTTCTTATGTTTTGCACCACAGCATGACTGCGAAACTGCCTGAGCTGACAGTTTTGCTTTGCGTTGTAAAGTTTTCGCCCCACCACCAACTTGACCATGCTAGTTACCAAAGCAGACTTGCTGCAAATCAGAGCATTCGGGGTGTGCAGACCGAGACCGCAACCAAAGAGTCACTGCATGCAGAAGTCTGAAATGAGTACATGGGTTGAGCCAGGTTTCCAGTCCGAATGAACAAGGTTCAGGGCCCGTGACGCGTGGCTACACCTAAACATGCGAGCGCGGCTAGAGGAAGGCGGTTATGCTTTCGTGTTTGCATCGTGGATAGAAAAAGCAAATCATTGTGCATGTTTCGTGTTGATGAGTGATCGTGTTGTGTACGTTCTAATACCGAGGTTGATTCCTCGCATGCCGTTTCAGCAATGCTCGATGTTCGATCTTTCGCAGGGCTCGGCTTCAAAGGAAGTGATGTAGATTCACCAAGTGTCAGCAAACGCGAGCAGCATGGGGGCGTCCCAGTCTACTCATTCTTGCGGGTGGCAGAGGCGGGGCCCAATGCTGTGTCGCGCAGTCATGTTGCATATGTTACTACGGGTTCAGGAAGTGCTGCGTAGCCGCTTATCCTGACGACTCCCTGGGGGAGTTTGTGGAAACCATGCAAGCTGACGTGCAGGACATCCTGCTTAAATGATGAAAGCTTGCCTTGTGGGCCTTGTCCTCGCCTGTCCTTGTCGGTCGCTGTGCAGGTTGGACCGAGGCACTTGGCTGAGGGAAGCGCGCGACGGTGTAACGGATGCGTCGATGCAGCACGTGCATATGTGATCTTGTGCGATCTGCAGGCTTGCAGCGCCTCAGGCCGACCCTCCGTCTCGCCGCGTTGCTCAGCTCTGAATCCATTGCTTTCGTACAGGCTCCAGGTCCGGCACAGCAGTGGCTGCCACCCATCAGCCAGGACCACCTGTGGCGTGAATTCATCTTTCTACTTGTCTGCGTCAATCCAGCCCCGGAAGCTCGCTTTTCTCCCACGCAGATGCTTTGAGCTTTGTCTCCGGCCTGTGGGACACCGTTGGGGTGCATTGGCCCGGGAACAAAGATTAATACCCGAAATTCGTTAGCATAGTACACGATTGGCCTAGCTGGAATCTGCCAGCGGCCAGCACCAGCTGATCTTGCATTCTTGCAGGAAGACCTTCGACGGCTTCAGGTCCAGCAGGAAGAATCACATCGCCAGCAAGTGTCCACCGCCCCCAGAACTTGCACAGACATCGCTGTGTCACAGAATATTGATTTTGCGAGGCTTCAACAGCATCTGCAACAACAACGCCACCGAGATATGCTGACAAAGCGAATGCGTGAATCAGAGAAGCCCGACAGCCAAGACGTTTGCCGCAGATTCTGTGCTTGCATTCAGCTTGAGTTTTTGAGGCTGGCCATGCAAATGCAGCGGGGAACCCAGATCTCAAACGTTTGGCTCCCAATTAGTCGTCCCGAAGTAGACGGGTCGGGTTTGCGCACTGTGTCCCTTCGAGAGGCACCTGCGCGAGCTGCAAGAACAGCAACGTCGCGCATCTGGGGAGCGTGATGGTGGGCATCCAACGCTGATGCAGCACATCTATCACACCAGGTGCCTGTGAATCCCTGCTATTTCTGCAGTTGCCGCATGCCGCACATTGAAGAACTGCATGGCAGTTTGCAGACAAGCTCATGGGTCGATGGAACTGGCTCAAATCACCACCGTGCCGGCTATGCGTCTCGAAGGTCCGTCTACACCGAGTCTGATAGGGCTTGCGTTGCCTGCGAGTTGCCAGTTCCAGAGCCGAAGAACCTTTTCCCAAAGATGAGCCGGCAGAAGGTGAGGCCATATACGGAAGTTCGAAAACCGACTCGGAATGACTCGGACACATCACATGACATGGAGTTTCGCTCGTAGACGAAGAAGCCGTTTTCGATACAAAGAAGGTTTCGGTTCATCTTTTGATGTGTGGGTGTTTTCTGAGTAGCCTTTCAAGCACATGTGGCCCGAGCTTGGTTGGACTGACAGTGCCCGTTAACCCAAAAGCGGTGATGACAGATGACTCGTGTGCTTGGACAGAGATTTGGAGAGAATGTGACACCAAGTCCTGCCTGAAATGCTAATGCCTTGGCTTCCAGAGTCAGGCGAACGCCCTCTCAAACTCCAGCCGTTCAATACGCTGTACAGGCCTGAGCCGAAGTTGGGTTTATGGGGCAAAGACAAGGGCAAGGCGTGGCAGGGCGTCATAGCAAACAGTGGTCACTGAGGGCCAGGGCGTGCCGACGTCTCAAGGCCGGTGCGCCGTCTTGACACTCTTGAGATCTCTTGGCAGTCCAAGAGGGACAGAGCACCGAATGGAGAGAGCGAGAGACAACAACAGAACACAAGAAGAGCTTAAGGGGCCAAGGCCTGGGCGCCAGGTGAGAGAGCGAAGGGAGGAAATCGAGCAAAGAAGAAGGGAAGAACTCTGTCAGGTCGGCCTTGCTCGGGTTCCCTCATTACCAGCAAGAGACCGGAGGACGAGCCAGGGTCTTAGATGAGCTCTCTGCTTCTGCTTCTGGGTGTTATCCATTATCTGAGAAACTGCAGCCTGGCGTCTACGAGGTTGACTGTGACCGAGCTACCCATCGTAATGTTCTCTGATGACTGACCTAGTCTTCAGTGCAAAGGGCAGTTTCACCCCTCCGAAACCTTCGCCCGCTGGCTATCCCTTCAGCGACATGTGTTTCACGCGGCTGGCAGCAACGACTCCTTCAGCCCTGCTGTGGCCGCCGTGCTGTAGCGACAAATGTGGCACATGATCTGCAGCTGCGCGCGTGGAGGAAATGGCCCGTTGTTGCAAATCAAGGTCGGGTTGAATGGTTGAACCGTTCGAAGCTTGATCCAGTACATATGAAGCAGGTAAACACTATGAGCATTCTTCAAAGCTATGGCTGGCGCGAACATGCGCGAACTAGTTGCCGCACTGGGGATTGAACTCACATTTGTCCCGGCTTCGGGTACGAGCAGACTTGGATCCAGTTTTAATCAGCTCTTCGACGTGGAAAAATCTAAGCCAGGCTTAATTCAGGAAGTGCATCTTGGGAGGTTTAAAACTTCCAGCGTCAGCTGCACACTATACTGACTATACTCTAATATACCACAGCGAATACCGAGGTAGACCTCCGAAACTAATCGTTTGTCCACTGATTTGGCCACGCATGCTGCTGGCATGACCAACTGTACATGTCATTATTATGACGACGTGTCTGTTGCAATCTGACTTCGCGCTGCAGGCAGGGTCGTTGTTTCTGGTTTCGCTGCTCGAGTGAGCAGGTGTGAGAAAAGGAAAGCTGCATTTCGTGCAGCCAGGAATTTTCAGATCAACCTTGAAGCCTTGCTCGTTTCAGCTGTTTTAAATGAGTTAATAAGGTCGGACGCGCTGAAACGAGATTGTCCTTTTCCTTGCAATGGCGAGACTTGATGGCTCAGTCGTCGGCGAGTGATGAGTCGCAGACAGGCTTCGAGCTCAGTGCTTGCACCAGGCAACCTAGGACCTAAGAGTCACGCAGACTTTCCAGGTGCAGACATCGCTCCGACAGATGGCGCACCGTCTTCTGCCACATATGGCGGCGCGCGGTCTTCTTCGACCTACATCCGCTCTGGATATCCAGCAGAAGCGGCGCCTTCAAGTGCGGGTTCGAAGCCTTTAACATTGCGAGCAGCAGTGAAGGCCTGTGACGTGAACAGCGTCCGCCATGCCTTGCTAAAGTTGCAGGGCCTCAACACTGAAGCTACCGAAGCTGCGCTGGATGCAACAGACGGCATGGGACGCACTGTGCTGCATATTTGTGCAGCTAGTGCCTTGCGAGGTGGCACAGGCGATGTGATGAAGCTACTTCTGGAGCACAAGGCCCGCACAGATGCTCGTGATGCGAACGAGAAGAACCCCCTGGACGTGGCGGTGGCAACGGCCGCAACGGCCACGGACGCGGCCACGGCAGAGGACTTTGTTTCAGCGGCGGCCACCGTCTCCTCTCTTTTGAAGTCCCGGGCCTCTGCCTCCGGATACTGGGCATGAATCCAATGCCGAGAAAGCAAAGCACGCAACCGTAATGCAACCCTCCCCCTCCCCCCCTCTCCATCCCCTTCTCCCTCTCTTCCTCTCTCGCTCTCTCTGTGAGAAGCGAGCCGAGGAGAGCAACGAGAGTCGCTGGAGACGAGCCTGGCAAAGGCCGCAACGCCTCAGGCCGTGGGGGGCTGCAGAGAAGCAGGGGTCCTTGATATAATATTTGGATTCAGATCATGTTTGATCATGTAGATGTAGGCCTGTTGAAGCTCCCAAGTGTCACCGGTCATGGGGTCTTGCTTGTGCTGGAGCCCGGTCAAGTAGCTGCAAGTGTCGGCACTTGTTGTGGATCCCCATGTCCCAGCGCCTACGCGCCACCTTTCGGTATCACAAATCAGCTTTCTGCTTGGCCCGAATCAAAGTGGCACCATGCCGCGGCGCCCCGCCGGGCCCGACTACCACTGTTAACCCGTCTATAGACAACACATGAAATTCGGCTGTATAGGGTTATCTTGCAAGCACGAGACACATGAGGCGCTACTTACTTTCACTTCCACCAGCCAGGCGTGACTCCTGCCTAAAACCAGGTCCAATCAGTCAGACAAATTCAATCTCTTGATGCACCGCGCACCTCCTGTCACAGGAGCCAGTATCTGAAGGAAGATCGCCACAGAGCGTTCCCTGAACAGCCGGGACATCACAAACAAATCCTCCAAGCCTTTCGCAGCAACAGCCAGCGCTTGCCAGGGCGCGAACTGAGGGTCGACACAGATTCCCTGGCAACGTTTTGCGTTGCTCGAAATGTCTTTGGGACTTCTAGCTTGCATCTGCTTTTCCTTGGGCTTGTAGAACCTTATCTGACTGGCTGCTGGCTTGGCAGTCGCTGTCACGCACTGCATGCAGCAGAGCTGAGCTGGCTTGCGAACTTAACGTTCACAGACCTCACCCATCTACATCGCAATCGTGTGTGGGAAGTATATAAGGGTAACGGTGTGGCTGCGTTGGGTTGTCACGGCTGTCATTTAGTCAGCAGAGCATTTGGATCTGCGGTCGCTGCCGAAGGTCAAAAACGGCTTGGCGCAAATCTTGTCTTTGTTGACGCCGCCACAGGCGCGTCCGTACAAATCACTTCGCCTCCCGTCCGGTTAGCATCGCCCAGGAAGATGGAGGCATCTTAGCCGAAAAGCTGATGCAGGCTGTTGGGCACCAAGCGTCTTCCTTCGCCGCGTATGTGCTGTCCGACAGCTGCCAATTAAGGTTGATCGCCGCGATCCAGAAACTGTCCAGATCTTCGCTCGAATACGCCAACGAACCGACAGCTCTACGCTCTTGGGACAGTGCATGCAAGCGTTGCACGTCGGAACCAGTCCTCGCCTCCAATTTCATGTGGCTTTCCTTAGCCTTTGCTTGTGTTTCTGCTCATCTTGTTGGTCAGTGTGCACATACCGCTTGAGGTTCGATGCCGATGGCAACACGCTGCTGCACAGATTCGTGGTTGGTCCAACCATTGACGCAGAGAAGGACATGGTCATCTTGCACCTACTGCTAGAGTCTGCCTCAGACATTAACAACCGAAACTTGCTTGGTGAGACGCCTCTGCTGGCAGGCGCTAGGTCAGCAGCAAAGCTAGAAACACTGGAAGCTTTGATAGCGGCCCGCGCCGACCCCAGTTCTCCAGATACGATCTCGCACGAGACCGCGTTGATGGAGGCTGCCTGCCGTGGCGATGCAGGACTCTGCCGGCTAATTCTCAATTGCAGGGCGGATGCGGCAGCTAGGAATATCCATGGTTGCACCGCTTGGGATTTAGCGATTGAGAACCGGCACAGTGGCGAGATTCTGAGTTCAGAATCCTTTCTAATGATTGCTATTTCAGGTTTTGTCCAATTCTCAGTTTGCCGGCATGTAGACGTCCAGAAGCATTGCAGCCAGTGCATGCTCAGGCGACGTTGTCCAGCTTCTGGCGGAGAACGGTAGTGTACAACCACCCAGCCTGAACAGCGAATTGATGGCTGCGGTGAAGGCCTCCGATGTGGATACAGTGCAAAGGCTTCTGTCGAGTCTGGGAACACTCGAGCTCGAGCGAGTCTTAACACGCGGAGTGGATGATGCCGGACGACAGCTCCTGCACGTGTCTGCAGCCCAGGGTGCACAAGAAGGAGCAGCGGACGTTGTGAGACTGTTGCTCGAGTTCGGCGCACCGACAGACGACCTGGACTTCGCTGGCGACACTCCTTTGTCCTTGGCAGTCTTGACAGCTTCGGCCGATGGCGATGCCGGTGGCAGTTGGGCGGCTTTGGACACTTGCCGCGTTTTGCTAGTGGCCGGAGCCAGTGCCGATGCTGGTGGACAGCTCTCCGCGCCCAACTGTGCTTTGGCAGAAGCCTTTCAAAGCGGTCGCGGCCAGGATGTTTGTCAACTTTTGCATGCATTTGGGGCGAACATGCCATGGTATGCAGTGGCAGAAGCCTCGAATGAGTCTGCCGATGCAGATGCGGAGTACGCAGATGTCGGTCATGGCACCTTCGAAGCGCAGTGTGAGCAGGAAGGTATTCCGCTGGATAAGTTGGGGGTGCTGGGTGCAAAGGCGGTCCTCGCTGCCTGCAGCGGTTGGCGCCAGATGACGGTGAAGCAGTTACGCTCGGAGTGCAGTGATGTTGGCATACCGACCGATGGTTGTGTCGAGAAGGCAGAGATATTTTCGCTGCTTCGCTGAGATGTCAGTTCGAGTGGCGTACTCGTACAAACTTGGAGATGCTCGGTGTTGCTTTCGAGCCGAGGCGCTTGCGTCAAGTGCGCATCTGGCAGGCATCCTCCCTGGAGATGCTCCGCGAGGAATCGATATAGAGAGAGCCAGTCAAGTCGGAGCGAGCCAGCAAGTCTTTCTTTGTTGTGTTTATGTTTGTGTATTCATCATGCTTGCCTTTTCTGTGCCGTGGCACGTTGCTGTTGGGCTGGTCCAGTTGCTGAGTTGGAGAGGGTTCGAAGGTGCTCCTGTCGAGTCCTGTCTGTCTGAAGTCAGGAGGTGGGCAGCCTCGGCCAGGATGCGCAGCGCTCCCGGCAAGAGCTCGAGGACTGCACACGTTTGCACCACGAGTGCGGCAAGTGCGAGGTCCAGCTAGGTCGTCTAACGAAGTTGCGCAGCTGTTGCGTAGCGGCGTAGCTGTGCGCAGCAGAGAGCGAGAGGCAGTTTGAACTGCTCGGTCTGTTCTGGCTCGCAGAGTTTTTCCCCTTGTAGCCTCACAACGTTTTGCCTCAACGTTCCCAGCGAGATGAGCAAGAAGTGCAACACCCAATCGATCTTCTTGAGCGGGGACGTGGCGAGGGAGGACTACGGGATGGTCGCAGGGCCTCCTCCACGTCGGGCCCAAGGCTACCAGGGCGAACGCCCCTCGAGCTGCGAGCGAGAGAGCGGGATGAGAGACTCCTTTTGAAAAGGGACTACATGATAAAGCTTTGAGATGTATTTCAATTTCAAGCATATTTTTAGCTTTGTAGACTGCTCTCAGGTCGTCAGGAAGGAGATGCTGGCGGCATGCGAGCCTGGACCGGCGGTTGGAGCCGGAGGGACGAGATGGAAGACAGCTGGGCACCAGCCCCGAAAGGCCAGAGCAAGGGCTGGGGCAAAAGCTGGCGCAGCGATCCTTGGGAGAGCCCGAGCTACGGCTACGGCGGTGGCGGCGGCTATGGCGGCAGCTACGGTGGCGGCTATGGCTATGGCGACGGCTACGATGGATATGGCGATGGCTACAGCAAGGGGAAAGGCAAGGGTAAAGGAAAGGGCAAGAGCAAAGGCCCATCATTCTATTCTATGCACGATGAACGTGGTGATGAACCTCTGCGCGAGAGATCGCCACGCCGTGCAGGTGGTTTTGGCGGTCGCTGGAAGCACGACATGTATGATGAGAAGGACCTTCCTGCAGGAGAGTACCGAAACTTCGGAGGACGAACCCTTGGCGGTCCTGGCAGGAAAGGCAAGGGCAAGGGGAAGGGCAAGACCAACGGCAAAGCCAACCCCAAGCAACTTGATCAGCAGCTGAGCCGCTACTTCGGAAAAGAGGATGATGGCCTAGACAAGTCAGCGCTGGACACAGAGCTGGACTCCTACATGGGCAAGGAAAAGGCGGCTGACAAGGCATAGGCCGTGCCCACCTGAGTCCAAAGTTGCCCGAAAAGGCACAAGTCTTGAAAGTTAGTCTTGGCTCTGTACGCAAAAGCGCCGATGCGATAGTCTTACCCATGCACGACATCCGTAGAGAGGTCTGACTATGAAGTGAACAATTTGCAAACATGCAGGCTGCCAAAAAGAATGCGAACTCTCCACAATATTGTTGTGCGATGCCACTTTGGGGGGGCGCCCGGGTGTCTGTCATGTCACTCGCCTTGAGGAGGCGTTGCTCGTCGCCACTTTCAATGCTCGCCCCCGTCGAGATCGAATCTGGGACAGCCTGCGGAAGTGTCACATCCAGGTCCCCCTCCACATGATGCCGAATTTCTTTTGACTTTGCAGGAGATGTGCAAAGCCCGACATGTGCCAGTCGACAAGTTCAATGACCTGGACAAGGCAGCGCCTGAAGGAGCAGCCATAGCTTTCTCGTGCTTCAGCTTGTGCCAGCTGCTTTTGTCAATGTTCTTGTCCGCCAAGTTTCGGCACCGTACCTCCGACGCTTCGTGCGTCCCTCCTTGCGTAAGCTAGCCGCAGGCAGCCTGGTAGCCGGCCGCGAAAGCAACTCCCGGTGACTTGGTGTGGCCCGAAGCCATGGTGCGCCTTGTGCCATGGGTGCCGCTGTGCCTGACGCACCTGGCTCTAGCCGCTGCAAATGCAAATGGTAATCTTTGCTCGGATGCCCTTGGCGGTGGTGTGTCGTTTCTACAGGCATCAAAGAAGCTCTGGGTACCACCTGCTGCGGCTCCTGAAGCTGCTTCTTCCTTGAACATCTCCAGCCAGTCCAGTGACGGCAACGCCACCAACATATCAGTCGACATCACTGATGCCGTCAACTTCTCGGAGATCGCGGATTATGGCGGTGAAGTGCAGGATGAGAGCGACACTCCCAGCACTCCCTATGCTGATACGAACAGCACAGAGCCCACAATTCCCCTTATCGAGCCAATTCAAAAAGCAGTGCCGTTGCCCGAGCTGGATGCTGAGAATCTGACTGGGGATCTGCGCGACTGCATCATGGGCTTCTGGAGTGAGTGGAGTGAGTGCCAAAAAGGAACGAACGGCTTCAAAGGACCGCACCAGATCCGGCAGCGTGAGATCATCCAACCGTGGATGCCCAACGGCCAACCCTGTGGTGCACAATCGGAGGCCAGAGAATGCTTCGAGGAACATCATCCGTGAGAAGCAGCCAGCAACTGATACCTACAGCCACGTTACTTGGGGGCAGCGGGCAGCTGATGTTAAAATGGGTGATCTTGCAAACGTGCCGCCCAATGTGATCCAGCATGATGACCGGCATCGGCTTATGCCAGAACTAGCGTCACTGTTGCTTTTCGCATCTGCAGTTTTGCATGTGGCTTCAGGCCGAAATGGTCTTGCAGCAAGTCCAGCGCTTGGAACGTGGAAGTGTGGGCGACTTGAAGCGCGAGCCCTTCGGCTGCACAACAGTCGTGTGGATGAATGGTAGCTGGTCGCCATATCACTCCCTATTTCAGGCAAGACATAGCCATACAGGCAGTGCAGTCTGTACTGCTGCACCATGCAAGGTTCGCAAGACGTGGATTGACTGTGGAAGCAGGTACAGAGACGTGGAAGCAAGAAGTTCCAATGACGACATGCAAACATGCTTTCGTTCTGGTGGACCTCGGCGCTGCATGACAGCATGCACGAGCAGCTTTGCTTGCCCATGTTGGTGAGTCAGGAAAAGCAGGAGCTCCGCACCAGTCCGCAGTGAAACATGTTGGGTGGACGACTTCCCCCGACGTGCGTGAGAGGAGATGATCTCCAAGTTGCGCGATGTGCTGGCGTGGGAGGAGATGCCAGTGTCAGGTTTGCAGCAGACATGCCGCCACTGGGCTCACAGCTTCAACGGTAGTAGAAGACCAGCACACATGCAGTTGTCAGAGGTACAGGTAATGAGCACGAGAGAGAGGGGGCGAGAGACAGAGAGAGGGGAGGACTGTTCCTGCCCCAAGCCCCAAGCCCCAAGCAAAGCAAAGAGAGCGAGCGAGCCCGGGGTATCAGCATTTGTTTGTTTACTGCACCCTACACGTCCTACTGGCGAATCTGCCTTTGCAGAGTATTTTCTACGAAGATGATAGATTGGGGGCGCCTGGAGCCCTCTCCTTACCCTGCGAGGGAAAGAGAGAGAGAGAGAGAGAGAGAGAGAGAGAGAGAGGGCGGGTTGGGGTTTAGGCTAGTGGTTTCGGGGAGAGAGCCGGTGAGTCGATCCGCAAACAATCTCGGTAATTCGTTCAGCCCTGTACACCCCCCAGTGCGCGGAAACGCGCGAGGGGGGCGCGGACCTCGGATCGCGCTTCCCTCTGCCTGTGCTGAAGAAGAGAGAGAGAGAGAGAGAGAGAGAGAGAGAGGACTGCTCCCGCTCCAAGCCCCGAGCAAAGCAACGAGACTCAGAGCATAGCAACCGGTTCAGTACGTATAGGTCCGTATGTATCTTCGCTGTGCACTGTCCGGCTGAGTGTGCTGTGCGGAAGACGAAGACTTGAAGAGCTTGTCGGCAACCGATTCTTTGAACTGCGGTTCTTTGTCTCAGCCGAGTGGTTGTATGTGGTTGTGGTCCACTGCGTTACGACTCTGCATCCTGAGCTTTGCTACACCGGATGCTTGCAAGTTCAGGCGAGCGAGGTCTGGGTGGCCCTGCCGCTGCCTCTCGGGCAGCTTGCTTGTAAATTATGCGGCGCAATGCACTTGTTGCTTCGAAGCTTGAAAGCTTCCCCTGCCAGGAAGAGCTCCTGAAGCGGCTGCTTACTTCCATAGGCGATGCGGCATTGCACCCCTAAGGCCATAAGACCTCAATCACCATGGCTCCAAGTTCTTCCAAGCAGGCCAGACCAAGGCGGCTGAATCACGGTTCAAGAACTTCTTCACCTATGGCAACCCGCAGGCGCAAAAAGCAGTCGCTTCCTGTCACAGCTCTCCGCCGCACCGCATCGCGCGCAGCTTTGAGGAGACTCCGAAGCCCTCCGCCGGCCCCGGCGGACCCTCCTCGGCCTCGGGTCCTCAACCGTCCCGAACTCAACGAAGAGCGTTAGCGGCCGTTCCATTCTTCACGGGTCGAACGCATCGTGCAGGAGCCCCGGCAACCGTGGTTTCGGGGACGACTTCGAGCGTGCGTGGGAGGCAAAAGCCGAGGAAAATCGCCGAGCTTTTGCTTCAGGCAAGGGCCGGGCCGCTTCGCAGTCCGAACGTGAGAACTTGGAAGTCGGCGCAAGGCAACCGGAACCATGCTGGGATGCCTTCCGGACAGAGGCGCTATGCTGGGCCTGGGCCTGGCTTTCCTGGTTCCGGAAAGCAGAGGCCTGGCTGCTTGGCTTCGTTCCGTGCCTGCCTGCCTGCAGCCCGCAGCTTTGAGGTCAGCGGCCCCACAGACTCCACCGATCGAGCGCTTCTTTCGGGTTTTGGGCCTGCCAGCCACTGCGAGCCACGACGAAGTCCGCAAGGCAAGGAGAAGCAGCTTGCTAAAATCTGCAGGGAGACGAGGGCTTGGGCGTCTCTAATCTAAGCTGCCTTTGCGAGGCTTACCGACAGCTTGCACTCCAGTACCATCCGGACAAGAATCCGGGACAGAAGCTGGCCGGCAGTAGACAGTTACAGTTCACATTGACGTGACGGGAGCCGTGACCGTGGCTCATAACCGTTTGCACATCGCTGTCTTTCTATGCTTGCCAGGAAGAAGGCGGCTGCAGAGGCCAAGTTTCGCGAAGTGGCCGAGGCTTACGACAAAGTTTGCGAGTTCTTGCGGCAGAAGAAGTAGTGACACCTTGTGGGCCACAAAGTGTGGTCAAAAAGGGGCCGCGCTCAACCGTGCTTTGCACCAGTTGACAACAGTCCTGAAATTCTTTGTCTGTCTGTTGCCAAGCAGTCATGTGCCGAGCAGGCCTGCATGTTTGGCTTGCTCACGCGATGTGCTCCTTCCGTGAGAGTGCAAGCTATCAGCAGCACGACAGACGTCTAGTCTAGTCCAAGTCTAAGCTGTTTGTGAGAGCACTTGGAGAAGTCTCCAGCCAAGTCCCCTATTGAAAAGGGCAGAAGATGTTTCGACTTTAGTCAAAGTGTCGACTTGCCAACGAAAGCGACTCATGTGGCTGCGATTGGCCTTTGTTGCGGCGGCATGTACCGTGAGCACCCATGCCGCCCCTCAGATGCACCGAGTGGTTCCTGATTTGCGCCTGGCATGCCTTGCACTGTCGACTCGCTTCCGTTTTGCAGCAGGGCCTTGTTGATCATGTTGCGAATCTTAGCAAGCCCTGCTTGCAGGCTTGGACCCGAGGATCCATCGAGGCGGGCAAAGTGGCGAGATGGGCTTAGAGAGCTCAGATCCGTCGCCGAGTTTCAGCTTGCAGAGGTGTCTCCTGGAGGAGTTGTCTTCCTCGCCAAGTTCTGCTTCTTGGCGCGTAGTCTTCTCGCCAGTGTAGAGTACGTAGCAGAGTCCATGAGGCTTTGACTTCGCACCGGATGCCAGCTCCACCAACGCTGTTGGCAAGATTGAGGCCAGGAGATGCCAGGGCTCTGCGCATTTTGGATACCAGATCTGGGCAGGCAACGCTGCACTCCTCGAGCCCAGCAGACGGCCTGATCAAGTTTGTGCTGTGACCTGGCAACTCTTTTGCTTTGGCGTCTGCCAAAGGGACAAGGGCAGCGTCTGAGGTTCGACGATGAGGCCAAGTCCTATCCCGACTCCTCCTCTTTGGGCGGCTTCGGCTGCGACTCCGACAGGCCGGGTGAGGGGCATTGCCATAGCACCATGCTCTGTGATGCCGCAATGGATCCGGACAGGCTAAAGAGAGCGGCACGTTGGACACAGGCCCTGGCACCACTTGTAACACTCGAGAACGAGCCCTCTAGCTCGGCGACGTTCATGGTGCTCCCGAGAAGTTCGCTCAGGTGATAAATGCTACAGACCTGACATCGGGAAAGACGCCCTTCGCAGACGCCTGCCTGGAGCATCCCTCGAGCATTTCACCATCGCATTGAATTCTGAGAGGGTCGTATCGGCGCCAGTGCGGCGCCAGACTTCGGTTCCACCCGACTACTTTTGTGCGACCTTGCTCATGCGAGCAGCAGCCCAGATGGTCCTGCTTCCTCGCCAAGAGTCAAGAGAGCCTCGTGAGACATCGAACAGAGTGCAGATAAGTGTCCCCTGCGCGACACCCACCGTGACACTCAGGACATTTACGAGAAAATTAGACCACGATGGTGGTACGCTGCAATCGTTGACTGCTCCGGGCATCCGCGAAACTAGCCAGCAGGAAAGCCGTTTCCGTTTGTTTCCGTTTCCCATCGACGTGGCTCAGGAACGATTGACTACAATGTCGCGGCCTTGACATAGAATCTGAAGAAGTGTGCATCTGTGTATTGCAGAGCACAAGGTGCACATGACGAACGTAAAGGCCGGCTTCCTGGCAGAGTTCTCGATCGATCGAGTGGGACCGAAAGGAATGTGCCTCTTCATGGCAGTGCACCTTGCCCGAAAGCCCGGAATGCAGAGCAGAGCGGGGAGTCATTTTGAGCAGTTCCTTGCCGCAGTGCTTTACCCGCGACGGAGGTATTCGATCCTGGCAGGATGCCAGCTCATGGCTCTGCTGAAAAGGCCACTGGGAGTTGGGGGAGTTGCAACTAAGATGACTCTTCAGATCTTTTTCAGGTCTTTCTGTTTGTCACGAAAGCTCCCCGCAGCGGGGAGCTTTGTTCAATACCTCAACGTGAGCTTGAGGGGGGTTTCGAGGGTCTTGTTTGGACTATACCTCGCCCGACGGGTCGTTCTAGGGTAGATTACGAGTCTTGTGTTGGCGTTTGTTGCTAAGGTTTCGGTAGGAGAAACGGATCTCGTCTGAGGCAGCTGATGCTGGCAACATGTTCTCTGTTGATTCCTGTTGATGAAGCTGATGCTGGTTTAACAATGTTTAACAGGGGTTCCCGAGTTTTTGCACATGGTGGGCAGCATTAACATGTGGATTCTCGTGAATGCTCTTTCATTCATCGGCAGTTGTGCACTGGATTCTCTAGGATGTTTTGGACTGTTTCTGTCTGGCAAGCCATGGCGTGCTGGGCTGATGAACCGCTCTACATAGAATCGCTTTGGCTAGAAGAAGCCGCACAAGGCTCAGAAACCTACAAGTGGCCTTTACAACCGTGCCGCGAGTGCTTCTTTTTCACGAGATGCAGAGCGTGCATTTTCCTGGCAGGTCTCGACATTAACATATCTGATTGCATCTTGTCTGTCTGTGCCAGGTCAGTGTCACCAGCCATGTGAATTGTGCATTGTAGAGCTTTCGTTCCAGCCCGTGGCTCTCAAGTATCGTCCGGCTTGGCGTATGCCTTGTTGAATGCGGAAGATGTCTTCAGGAGCACCAGTGCCAAAACGCAGCATCCGTGCCTCGTTGGCGCTATGACGCTTCGCCTTGTCATTGCGTGGAGCCCCGAAGCTGAGGATCCGGCTTATGCTGGGGCTTTGTGTCGGGGCTGCTGCTGCTCCTTCCTCAGCCTGAGAGCCTTTCAGAGCCTGTGCTTCAGCCGTTTCCAGCTTTGTCTTGCCGACCGATCTTTTGTGAGGCAGGCACACTTTGTGTTCTGCTGAACATCTCTTGGTATGCCTACCACGGGGAAGACCAGAATAACCTGTACATGGCCGCAGCCCGAAGTGGCCCTAAGCTCGGATCCGCCAATGACTCTGCGAGTCTAAGGCAGGAAAGCTGCTCAAAGCTGGCTCCAAGTACACTCTGCTAGCAATCCTCTTGCTTCTCGCACGTGGCCGAATCTTGACAGCATTCTTGTGGCCAAAATTGCTATTCGGATCCTACCGAGCAGCACCTGAGGCTGCATCTCGGTGCCACTTTACGGGAGGGATGTCATGCAGGAAGCACGTTGCAGCCCTATCTGCGAAGCACACATTGTGGATGTCACTCCAAGTGGACGCGGTAGCTGAGGCATCCTGGTACCGCTGTATATTGCCAGCGTTTCGCTTGAGGTGGCCGCAGTTGGCTCGTGCGATGTCTGTCCTCGACGTTTGCACGGTTTTGGATGGGATGGGCTTGTGTGATTGCGTGCTTGCAAGTGTTCTGACCACAGCCTGCCGTATGGCCTAAGCGAACCGCAGCATGTCATGTCAGTGCTTGGCACCCTCGATCGGTCCGCGAGGTCTGGGGCGAGTTCGCACAGTCCCGAACATACACAACTGACGCGTGGCCGCATCCAAAACTGTGCAAAGTGTGGAAGCATGCCGCTCAGCCACCCAGCTCAGCGTCCCAAGGACTCGGTCTACCGGACGTACATGGGCGACATCATCATTTGCATCGAGCCTTGGCCGTGCTAGCGTGCAGTCGCTTGACAAGCAGAACAACCCTTTTTTTGATTGCAGAAGCTTCAGATTGAGGACATTGTGCTGCTCGCCCTCTACCTTCGAAACTTATTCCAGTCTTGGGGTGCAGAGCCTCTTCGCTGCATTTTGCTGCAGCCGTGGAACTTTGAGCGGAGCGTTTCCCGAACCCAGATCCAGGGGATGAAGCACTGCCGAGGCCAGACGCCCCGAAGCGAGTCTTCTACAGGACTTGGGGTCTTACCTATGCGGGTGCCTTTTTGCTCCTGCCGGCACCTTGTAAGCAAGTCTCGCGTATTCCGCAGATCCGTCCAGTCCGATGCACACTGTTACGGTTCTGATATCGGCCAATCATGTAGATACTGCAGGGAGGAACTGTGAAGCCTTCAGCTTGCCTTGCCGAGATCTCCGTGCTCACATCGCAATGCGTCGCTCCCTGGGTGCGGTCTGAAGTGATCTTCTTTGTGCCATCCCCTTGGATTGAAACTCATGGACAGCATGTAAGAAGTGGTTGAGTTCAGTTGAGGTCGAACACGACTCACTGCGCATTCTTGGCTCTGCTGATCATTGGACTGTGGCCAGACTACACGCAGCCCGCGTTTTGCATCGACCATCCCTCTGCTCCTCGGACTTGAAAGCCTTCATGTAATGACTGTAAAGGCATGAGCTGAGCTTCAGTCGTACAAGGCCCTGGCTACTACATTCGGGGTCAAGACAGCGACTTTCCAGCAGAGATGGGGGACCCCCATCATAGACCATGCACCGGCTTGCCAAGCTCCTGCCAAAGCTTGAGGAGTTGCTGGAAGGGAGCGAACTTGTCGAGGGGCCGAAGATCTGACGCGAAGTCAAAGGCACCTGGGCTTTGGATGTGGGAAGCCGGAGCAAGGACACGTGCTCGCCGCCTAAGGTGTGCTCGAGTACCTTGGTCTCACTTCATGAAGAGGGTGGAGTTTCCAGTTCAAGACGAACAGGCGTTGCAGAAGTGCTACCGGCAAAATGACAAGCAGATCCCAGCCATGGAAACAGGAATGCAGAATTGCAAGGGATAAGTCTGGAGAATTTGAGCCGGCCGCGTGTTGGCTCATGCAGCGTGGTGACGTAGTGTGCTTATGAACCTGAGTGGCGTGGCATTGATGGCTGAAGAGGCGGGTGGATCCAAAGCAAGCATCATATCCTGACCACCACCTCATCCCGGCCTTCAGAACATGTAACCAAGTTTCAGCCAGCCCACAACACCAGCCCTTCGGTATCACCAGAGTTGAGTTCAGCACCATGCACTACACGTTCTATCTGTAACTCTTCTGTCGAGTGTCCGCATCTGCCATACAGGCCTTGTTTGCGAGCAGATTGGGGCAGGCTTTGGGTGACACTCCAAAAGGCCAAAACACACACACGAATGCAGAACTCTCAAGGGATGGTTGTTCATTCGTCTGGAGCAATCCAGGCACAGAACACCGGACTCAGAACTGCGGGCTGATGGAAGACTAGCTCTTCAGTACATATGAATGCCGCAGTCACCATAGAGGGTTCATTTTTCGTGTGCAGAGCTCGGGACCTTGCGAGTTCGGTTCATACTCGGAATTGGGTGTCTGCATGTGTTCGGGCTCCTGCAAGAATAAATGATGAACGAGTGACCGTTGCTTGCTTAAGCTCGTGAAGGCATAACGATGCTGGCGCATTGCATAATCACAGGGGCTGCTACGGTAGGAATAGACTGTTCCCAATGTTTCGCCTTTTTGGCTCCCCGACTGTTGTGAGGGCAGTGGAAGCTCCTTGCCAAGGCCTTGACACCGGGCCGTGCACCGCAATTCTGCCATTTCCTGTGAACACCGCTTCTCGTCCCTTGCCCCTTCTTCGGCTCAGACATTCCGACTTTCCCCAAAGGATCTGCCAAGGTTCTCCTTTTGAACGAAGCCATGGGGTGCGGAGCCAGCAAAGCCGCAATACTTTCAGAGGCCCCAGTCTCTTCGAATCCTGATGAGTTCTACGCCTACCAAGGGACTGGGCCCTGGCACGTCTGCCGTGCAGACAGCGTGATCCAACCACGCCTCGCCAAGAGTGGAGCGGCGAGCTTGGAGCAATGTCCACCGGCGACCTTGCAAGAGCTCTTGAAGAAGGCGGCTGAGGACAAAGGGGACAAGCCGGCCATGAAGGTGGAGCGTCCACTGCCTGCTCTACTTGCTGATGGATCCGCCCCACCGGTGCTGCAAGATGAACACTGGAAGGTTTGGACTTACAAACAGTACTACGAAGAGTCCAGGAAGGCCGCCCGCGGCTTCGTGAAGCTGGGCTTTGAGGCGAGGCCCAGAGTCAGAGCTGTCTGCAATCACTCAGCAACGAAATCGAAAACCCAAGATCTAAGATTGAGACTAATTCACTCGAAATGCTGCACCCGGCCGCGAGGCTTTTGACACCCTGGCCATCTGGGGGTTCAATGCTCCCGAGTGGATGCTCAGCGCCTTGGCCGCTGGCTTTGCAGGAGGCAAGGTCGGTGGCCTTTATCCGACAGGCCAGGACAGGCTCTGTTTTCTCTAAGTGACCAGTAGGCGCCTTGACAGCCGCCCCATGCAAATGACCCGCAGATACACCAGAGACCGCAGCCTTCAAGATTGTCCACAGTGGCGCCAGCATCGTTGTGTTTGAAGACAAGTCCAAATTGGAAAGGCTGCTCCCAGCCCTCACACAGCGCCTGCAAAACAACAATGCCTCACCAATCAAAGCCTTCGTAGCCTACGGCTTCGAACCAGAAGCAAACCACACGGTCGAGCTGAAAGGAAGTTCCAAACCAGTGCTTAGCTGGTCAAGCCTTCTGGCAATGGCAGACTCCGTCGAGGAAGATGTGATCGAAACTCGGCTCAAGGCGGTGGAGCCCGGTCATTGCGCTGTCTTGGTCTACACATCCGGAACGACGGGGGAGCCGAAGGCGGTCATGCTATCACACGACTGCATGGTCTTCGAGACACGAACAGTACTCAGCATGGCCAGAGCACACATGGGCTTGTGTGCAAAGGCCGAACAGGAGAGGGTCTTGTCTTATCTCCCACTCTCGCATGTCGCCGGTAAGATGGTCGATATTTGCTTCCCTTTCATGGCGACGGCAACGACACCGGCATGGGTGACGACTTATTTTGCCAGGCCGTATGACCTCAAAGCCGGGTCTCTGGGAGATAGGCTTCGTGCAGCCAGACCCACGATTTTCCTTGGCGTGCCCTTGGTGCCGCTTGGTTATTGCAGAGCTCGTGCCACTTCTCCCCAGTACGGAGCCTGACTGAAGTAGTACCGGCTCACCAGCTCAGGTGGGAGAAGGTCGCGGACAAGCTCCGTGCTATAGGTGCCACAACGAAGGGTCTCAAGAAGAAGCTTGCTACGTGGGCCAAAGAAAAGGGCTTGGCAAACTCCAAGGCGTGCCTTCTTGGCGGAGACGGCGTGGCACCTTTTGCTTATGGAGTTGCCGACAAGGCTTCTGTCTGTTCTTGGTCGCCACGATCAGAGCAAGGGAGCGAGAAACAGACGGAGAGTGTTTTGCTGGGACTTTTTGGTCGGTCTCTCTCCTAGTAGCGACGCATCCGGAGCTTGGAGCCAGCAGATGCCAGTCATCCCCTGGCCGCGAGGGAAACTGAGAGAAATACTCCCAACTCATCGCTTCATGCATGACACAGCCTGCATTGTCACGGTGTAGCGGGGGAGTTAACAGCTGAATGCCGGTGCCGCCTTGAAGCTTTGGATATATAATATGCCCGCATGGTTGGGAGTCGTTCTGAGTTGCTTGTCCATGTTGCTGAGCCAATCGTAGTGTTTGCGTAGCACGCAATAGTGTCTGCTGCTAGAATCACTGATTTCGGAGGGGGCTTCTAGCAAGTTGCAGTGCTGGGGTTCGGTTGTTCAACCTCGATATCGAGAAAAGGAAGCCCATGAAACACGTGAAAGTGGATGAATCGAAACAAGCAGCAAAACACATTCGTCTGCTCTGCAGGAATCGTCCGTTCTTCGGAGGGTCACGTATTCTTTCACAGGGAGGCTTTTCGCGTATGTGCCTTGTGTATGTTGTGCCCTCAAGCATAAACACTTGCAAAATCATCTACTCGTGAAAAAGATTGAAGTAAGCATAACATAGTTCTCACGTCCCTCCAACAGCCCAAATCAAGATAGGGGGACCATGAGAGTCAGAGAGGACTCCGGCGTAGTGGCATGGGCGCAGCGGGGGAGGGTTCACGATGGTTCGTGCCTTGCTCTCCGCACGGTTACGCCAGCAGCGAGAGAGGGAGAGAGAGACCGAGAGAGAGCGGAGGAGACGGACCTGTGATCCCCAACCCAAAACCTCAGCACCTGCGACATGACCTGCTGGACTGGAATGCGATATGTTGTAATTGGATGTGTCGTAGACTCTTTGCTTTGTAAACCGATGTGGAGTGAGTGGCCTCAATCGGTACAATGGGCGTTTTCAGTACATGTGGGTTCATGGCATTTGTAAGTTTATGTATTGTCCCGTTTACGCTTCATTTGCCGTGGGCATGAGCTTTCGCATGTGGGGGTCGCCTTAGGCGCGGGCAACGGAGGCAGCCCTGCCTTAAGCCTGTGGAGCCAGCAGTGCGGTTTCCAATGTGACATAATACTTGTATGATCCTGTTGAGCCTCTATACAGATGTCCCCACCGCGTCTTTGATGTCAGGTCGTCCTGAAGAAGATCAAGGAGAAGCTGGGGTTGGATTGCTTGAAGTTCGGTGCTACCGGGGCGGCTCCCATCCGCGTCGACACTTTGCAGTACTTCGGGTCTCTAGGGATCACCATCAACGAGGTCTACGGCATGTCGGAATCCTGCGCTGCTTGCACCGTCTCAACAGATCGAGCCCACGTGTGGGGCTCTTGCGGCTTCCAGCTTCCTGGAGTGGAGGTGAAGGCTTTCAAGGTCGACCCGAGTGACGTGAACAAGAAGGAAGAGTGCCCGAGAGCCCCGAGCATGGATGCAGCGGAGGACAAATACCAGGGCGAGCTCTGCTTCCGGGGCCGCAGCATCATGATGGGGTACCTTGCGCAGCCGGATCTGGGGAGCGAGCACGTGCGAGAGATTGAGAAGAAGACGGCTGAGACTATAGACTCTCAAGGATGGCTGCACTCGGGGGACAAGGGCATGATCACCCAAGCAGGGATGGTGAAGATCACGGGCCGTTACAAGGAGATCATCATTGGCGCTGGAGGCCGGGTAGCACGGGGAATCTCTGAGGGCCAGGGCATGCCAGGGCCATAGCTTTCTGGTTCGGGCTTGCAGCGGCAGATCCAGGTGAGAACATTGCGCCGGTGCCGATTGAGGACCACATCAAAGCCCATTGCGATGGCCCCCCAGCACAAAAAGTGTAGCCTCTGTATATAGTTTGCATCTCCGGCTTGGTAGCACATGAAACATATCTCCCTGGCAAGAGCGATTTCGGGTTTCGCAACAATCCCGAAGCCCATGCTTGGCCAAGGAATCAACGAGGTAATGATGATTGGCGACAAGCGCAAGTACAATGTTGCGCTGGTGACTTTGAAAGCTGTAGGCGCCAACGGCGAGACGCCAGGGACCGACGACTTAGATGCAGGGGCCCGAAGAGTGAACCCGAGTGTCACGAAGATCAGCGAGGCGATGAAGGATGCGACCTGGATCGAGGCTGTTACTGCGGCGCTCAAGAATGCCAATGCCAACGGTAAGGTTTGTCCCAACAACGCCTTCAAGATCCAAAAGTTCATGATCTTGCCCACAAACTTTTCAGAGGAGCAGGGCTTCCTTACGCCCACGAAGAAGTTGAAGCGAGCCATTGTGGAGAGACCTGGCTCAGCAGTGACAGTAAGCCGCAGTAAGTCTACATACCGTTACATAGGCATGCAACACGGGGCGTGACCGATGGAAGCAGCGGGTCTGCAGGTCCACGTTGCCGGCGTTTCGCGGGAATGTAGGGAAGGAAGAACTTTGCGCGAGGGTGGAGAGGCCCAACAAGAACACCAAAATACAGAAGACAGGAGCCAAGACTTAAGAAACTGTGTCACAGACTGCTCTGAGCCGCTGAGCTTCGCGCATGGGTGATTCAGTGTTGAAACACTGCCACCGCGAGACATGAAAATGTGAAAACTTGAGGCAAAGGCACACTCTGCGGGCCAATATGCGAAACCAACAAAGGAGCAGCTAGAAGCTTGAAGGGAACCATGAAGGCAATTCAGCGTTTCTAGCGTATGGCAGCAGGGGGCAGAACCAAGCAGGCTATTCAGCTAGTCTTCGATGTATTAAAGTGCACGGAAGCATGAGGGTGGCGGTTTGACATTGTCACCGTACCCGCAGCCATCCCGAAGACCTACTCGAAGGGTCCTGAAGCAGAGAGACATGTAAAGGGCAATGCTGAGGAATGCTTTCAAGAAGCAGATCGAAATGATGTACAACTCAAGTGAGATGTACGTGCAGTACGAGGAGTAAACTAGCATCTTTGGATGCGCCTCTTTTGCTACAACTCGCGGAAGGTCGAAGTCCGACACAGCGGGCGCCATTTGTGAAGACCCGACTGCACGTGCCGGAGACTTGTACGGAGGGTTTTGCGATTTTTAAACTATGGTCTTCGACACGCGAAGAACCGCCACAAACGCCCGCGCCAAAGGTGCGATTGCATGGGCTTGTCATTGCTTCGGCCTAAGATGCCGAAAGAACTGCAGAATGCTAGATGCACTATACCCAAGGGCCTGCACATGCTCCATCAACGGAGTGACTGCGAGGAAACAATAGAGACCTTGCGAATGTGATGCGGTAGCAACTTGTCTGTAGGAGCTCGTTCATCAGAGGTTGTACTGTAGTTTCGGCCTTTGGCTAGTGACAAGTCACGCCCACGTGAGGTCCGTCAACCAGAGGCACCTGCCCGAGAGATGTCAGCAGGCCTTTCCGAATGATGTGTTGAACCCGCAGCCAAGCTTTCAACATGCTGCACAGCAGCAAATTTTGATGAGGAGGTCCGACCCCTCTCTCAAGCAGTGTATCAATTCAACTTCTGTTGGTTTCGCCAGCCTTTGCTGCGGTTGCATTACTTTTGCGTCCTGTTAGTGGCTGCATGCACCGCATGATCTGTAAACTTGCTTTTTAAGCTAAAGTTTGTTGTTGTTTCGGTTCTGTGCGGAATCACGGCTTATGCTGTTTTCTGTTGAAGCCCGTTCATTGTTGCCTCTTCATGCAGCCTAATGATGCCTTGTCCGTGCGATTTTATGCCGTCGTCGTCAACATGCGCGATGACTTTGCGAGCGTCACAAGTCGAAGATGTGGAGGCATGAGCGAATCGCTAGCATCTGTCTATGTCTGTACCCACGACACCGACCGACGTTCGACCACGGCTTGAAAGACTGCGTGATCTGTAATATTTGCGCACGGTATGTGCTTATGCAAGTCTACGAATTAAGTGACCACCGAGCGGGGACACGGGCATCTGATGACTTTGGATGTGCACGGAAGTTCATGATGCTTGCAGGAAAAAACGCAGAGATCAGTGTAAAATTGAACACAGGACAGGCGCTGCGATTCAGAACGGCATGCACTTGTTTCAGGCAAACCAAGTACTACCACGCAAGAACACGATTGCGGCCAAAGAGCAGACGTGGAAGCGTGTTGACGGCAGGCACATGTCGCTGGTTCTGGCCAATCGCATCCGAAGATCGCCACGACGAGTTCAAAGTTCCGAAGCAACGCCAGCGAAAGGAGCATAGAGATATGCTGCAGACCAGGCCGGCTCGAAAAGCGGAACTTCCAATCTCAGGGTTAGGAGAGCAAACACGCGCCGTTTTGCCAGAAGATGTCAAAAAGGTATTGCGCAAGTGCACAACGCAACCCTTGGCAGGTTTCCAGCCTGCATACCTCCAAGATATCATTCGCTTGCCTCGATCCTGAACTCGCAGCCAAGCTTGCCAAGCAGAGGCCGGAGCTTAGTTTCTGAACGATGGCCTGAACCACTTCGTGCGGAGCCGAATCGCTTCGGTCCTTGTAATAGAGATACTCGTCCATGTCAGAGCTGCCGAACAAGGCGAACCGGGCTGACAGGAGACGATGCTTCTATCGGGAGCCCTGCTGCTTGCAGGGCCTGTTTCGGGACTGTAGGGAAGCCTTGACACCACGTCATGTGAATCTGTGTCCGCCGATGAGGCTCCAGGCTCCGAGATGTTCCCCTTTTGCGAGGGGTTCCAGTTCCATGTGAAAGTTGTCGGAAGTCTTCGCCATAGTCAGGACACTTCGACGTCTCACCGATGTCACACCGATTCCTGCCTTGCCCACTGTCCATGTCCGAGGTTTAGGGCGAGGTCGCGCCACCTCGTAGTATTTTCTGCCATGGGAGCTGCACAGTGCCGAGTTTGTTGCGAGGACCGCGCAAGGGGAGCATGAAGGAAGCCTTGACTAGGCCGGCTTCTGTGCTCCTGAGCGCAGGATGAGACTGACTCGGGCCAGATGGTTACAGTGGAGACGATGACTTCGGTTGCTGATGCCATCCGACTTCAACAGGAAGAGAAATCACATCCTTTGAAGCAAGGCCTGCTCTGCCTCCAGCGACGCAGTCATCGCGCATGACATCCTCACATTCGCTCCTGTGCTCGCAGGCTTGTTCGGTGGTACCTTGCAGGGCAGATGGCGTAGAATGCAGGACAACTCATGGGGTTACCCTGGCTTTAGGAGCCGCAAGCGTGCCACATCTCAAGATGTAAAGGGACCGATCCCGTCGTCCACCCCCCCCCCGTCTAGGACAAATGCCTTCTGGGACACTTGACCGCAGAGAATCTGTCGCGCGCGTTCTTCCACCTGGTGATGAGCTGCTGGTTTTTCCTGGTGTTAGGTCGCATCCAAGACAACAAGATGATATGGCAGCCCCTCTATCAACACCCACCAACCTTGTTGAAGGCTCTCGGGGAAGACAGGACAGTCTGAAGCCATGCCCAGTGTGGATTTGCTCTCGTGAATGCTTCAGTTGACCGTCAGATCCCTCATCAGGATTTGCATGGATCTGGAGGGTGTGAGGCACGAGGGCATGGTGGTGTATTCGGCATCCAGTAGCAAGCTGCTGATCAACTGGAGCGACGGTCCCTCGGCACGCACCGATGCGCCTGGACATGTTATCGTTGCCAGCGAGCTTCTGCTTCTGCTGTGCTCCGACCTGCAAGGCGAAGTTTGGACGAAAGAACTCTAAGACTCTATTCTAGTGATGTCTAGTGCTGTTTTCGAGTCACGGGGCAGCCGATATGCTGCCGCTGTGTGCTTGATCTTTTCCCAACGAGCAATGTTTCACCCCATCCTTGCCGACATGACCGGCTCGACGATTGTGCTAGTCGTGAAATTCCCTGCCCGAGAGTGAGCATTGAAAAATTCCCTGCGCATGAACTGAGCGAACGGTTGCCTTGAAAGATTCACGGACAAACGATGTGCTCTCACTTCTGATCAGATTCTTGTTAAGCTGGGGGCTGAAGCTCTGCACCGGCCTCTGTTCCGGGAACTGTTTGAGAGGAGGTGCAGAAGCTCTTCTGCCAATTGCTGCCTGCCCTGGAGGCTGGGCAGGGTGGCGACTGCTGCCAGCAACGCTGCGCCAGGTCAAAACTTCTTAGCCGTACTGCGCACAGGGAAAGTACTGTTGAGCCGAGCAGAAGTAGCCTCGCTCCAAAACCCCGCAACACGGCGCAAATAACTGGGCAGGCAGGAGATGTCGTGACAGAGGATGCAAGTAAGTTCTACTTGCCAAGGGGTGAGTTCAAAGAGGAAGTTTTACTGAAGGTGGGACCGTTGTTTCTGTTGCCGGTGTGCATGCCTGGCTGGCCACGCAGCCGTTTTGGCACAGTCGAGGGTTTAGGGCTGCAGGAACTGCGAGACGCGCGTGGGCTCGACATGACGGAGGACATGAATCCGGTGTCCTTGGACATGCCGATTTTCGGCGATGCTGCATGGGAGGAGAGGCATGCGTCTTCGGCGGCCGGCAGCAGCTCAGCATGCCCTGCACCGGCAGTGGCACCGACGCAGATGGATCCCACGCAGATGGACATGGACAGTTCACAGGAGACGAGCCTGAACCCGGAGCCACCAGCACTGGGAGGAGCTGTCTTCGAGACTCCACCCCGAAGTCGCCAGCTCTCGGTCGCTGAGATGACCACTGAGGCGCAGGACACGATCCCTGCTGTTTTCGAGACGCCACCCCGGACTCGCCAGCTCTCGCTGGAGGAGCTGCAAACCCCTGAGGGGAAAGTTCGTCTTCGCGAGACCCCGGAGTCGGGGGATGCGAGGAGCAGCGAGATCAGAGGAGTGCTGAGAGCCTTGGCCGTGACTTCGTCGCCGGCGGCTTCCCCTGTTGCGTGCACGGACCCATACCTGCATGCAGGTATCACGGCTGAGGCTTCCGTGGACGACCAGTCGGCGGAGATCCCTGTCGAACAGTTCCAGGACAAAGCCATCCACACTCTGTCTGAGCTACCGGATGAAACAGGCCACCTCCTAGCTCTGGTCTACCAGCTGTGCCTATGCGAGACTGAACAGAAGGGCGTGCTGCTGAAGAAAGGCGTGCTGTCATCCATAGTGGAGAACATCATCCTTGGCTACAAGAACCACTTCGATCGTGCCCGGCTGGACAACAACAGGCTCAAGTTGAATGAGTGGATGCGGAAACGGTTCTTGTAGCCAAGGATGATGTTCTCCACTATGGATGACAGCACGCCTTTCTTCAGCAGCACGCCCTTCTGCTCAGTCTCGCATAGGCACAGCTGGTAGACCAGAGCTAGGAGGTGGCCTGTTTCATCCGGTAGCTCAGACAGAGTGTGGATGGCTTTGTGGAGCATCCTTCTTTTTTGCACTCCTCCTGCAGATCTCGAGACGTGGGCCACCCGCTTCCAGCAGCTGTCCCGCACCGACCGTGCTGCGAAGATCTGGGACTCCTTGAACCACCACATCTGTGAGCTTCTGGGAAGCAACCGTTTCTGCAGCCTCAGCAACAAGTTGGACGAGGCAGCACAAAGCCTCGTGGCCTGGGCGAACGCAACGGATTCGCCGGGCCTTGGATTCGTGCATGTCCTGATCTTTGACCGCTACATCAAGGTGGGCAAAACAAGCGTCCTTCTCCAAAGCAAAAGCGGGCAACGTGAGCCCAATCTGATTCCTAGACTCCGGAACTACATGATCCATGCGCGCCTCCAGAACGCCACTCTCGTGTATGCTCCCATTGTCCTGGTGGCGACGAGTCCTTACAAATCGGATCTGGTGGAGAGCTTTATCATGCTTTATCCACCTGCACCTGCGATTCCATCACAGCGACATATGCCTGGATGTCTCTTCTTCCTCAAAGCAATCCATCGGCCAGGAGACTTACTCGGTCGAGGCCTTGCATATTGTGATGAACAGTGTCAAGTTCGCAGCAACACGGACAGTGCAGCAGCTTCTGTCCGGCAAGAACAGCTTGGTTCAATTGCGCTACCTGCAAAGCCGCGGCCGGCCGATCGCGAAAGAGGAGCTCAATGACAGCCTGTCCTTGTAGACCACAGCACCCTGCCCCGAAACGAATTCACACGCTGCACTCCGAACGAAATGCCTTTCTTGTCTAAGAGCATGAGCCACTCGAGGAGGCTCTCGTTGTACAGAGATCCGAGCCATGCGCATGGCCTCTCAGGAGCTGGCCCCGTGCAGAGAGCCCGCTGTGCCATAGAGCAGTCAGAAACGAGTGAGGCCTCCTTGCTAGTGCTGGCCGCGACTGCGAGTCCTTGTCCCCGACCCCTCGTTTCCAGTCCTTGTCAACCCGCCCTGTCTCAGGAGGATTCTCTTCTTTTTCGTCTACAACGCCGAGCCCGACAAGCAGATCCACCTCTACCTCCACCAGTGCCTAGACGTGGTTCGTGTTTATTAGGATTTTTTTAAAAAACACATAAAACAAAAAATCCAACAACAAATAAACACACAATCTTGGAACATAACAACTTTGAAACAGCAAAATTAATTTGGCCACAATGTTCTTTGCAAGCACATACCTTCTTGTAGATCAGTTGGCTGGAACGCAGTCAGAGACAAGGTTTCTGTGTGCCGTAACGGCGACATGCTGTATATGTCTGTTCGTAAGTTTGGGGATGGAGCCGTGCCTGCCCTCCTGCCTGCACTGTTTGTCCAAACTGCTTGGGAAGGGTCCGACGCCTGCTTTCAGGTCCTGTGCAAGTTTCTTTGCGAGAAGAACAGAACCTAGTAAAATACTGGCAGAAGCTGCTAAACCCCGAGCCCTTGGACACCCTAACCCTTTAACCCTTGCAACATACGAGACATGCATCCCGCTCGGCATGATCCGTGGCCTGTCTCAACTTCAGACGAGACCAAGTAACCCGCAGAAGGGAACAGATGTTCCTCGTACTTTGCATGATGAAAAGCTGCCAAGCGGCCTTTCCATGTTATGCTCTGTTGGTGTCTTTGCGCCTTCTGGGCGGGGACATCTCAGCAAGCGAACGAGAAAGACAACTGCGCTTGAGCTACGCTTTTCAAGTTCTTGTTGCGAGTAAGCAGGAGGCAGGCAATGCAGGAAGTTTCCCGTTGCCCCACGCTTGTAGTGCTGCCGGGCTGTCAAACTCGGAAGAGTTCTCCACTTTCAATGAAGCACCGTGCGGGAAAAGCACATGGCAAGTCATGTCAGGAGTGAAATGGTTTCACAGTGTGGCATCTCGCGAAGAAGAGCTACAGCTGATGCCGTAGCCATTTCAGCTTTTAGCTCAAGCGGATCAGAAGCCTAAGCTCTTCCTCGTGCAGCCTTGAGCCGGGGCACAAAGCCCTGATGGTCGCTCAGGTCGGGTGTGCGTGGATTGGACCGAGACATTTGCTGCAGCTGATGCTGGAGCGGATTTTCAGCTTATGCCCGACCTAGCTTAGGACACAGATGTGGCATGCGGTAGTTGTGCGCAGGGCAATGCGTGTGTCGGCGAGAACATGCCCCGTAAAGTGTGCCATGAACCAGCTGTGCCACGGTTGCATTCGTGCTGCCTCAGTCAAAGAGCGATGCTGACGGCGTGCTGTCCTCGCGCAGCCTGAAACCTCAAAGTCAGGGGCCCCGTGCACCAGACGCACACCCTATGCCGCCTGCGGCAAGCGCTTGCTACCTTCTTCGTCGGAAAGAAAACTTATTGGCCGGTCTGCAGGGCCCCTCTAAGAGGGACGACCGATAAGATGCGGCAAAACTGCCGTCGATTTGAAGCGTTTTGTTCGACGGCTCTGGAGACCAAACAGACGCGTTTTTTGGGAGATGGGCAGACCCTGGCAGCTGCCAGAAGGCTCCCAAAGAAGCTCTTGCAACAAGTAAGTGCTGCATGGAGCCTATCTCATGCTATCTCACCCCTTCAAGCTTGGAAATCCAGCAGGGCATTGAGCCGGACAGCTGAAGTACATTTTGAGGTGCCGTAGCGCGACTTCAGAAGGACTTTGAGCTTATAGAAACAGAGCTTCTAATGGGGCAGGCCAGGAGTTTCCACGGATGAACTTTGACTGCTGATTCGTCAAGTTTCAGCTTGCAAAGGCTGCGACATGGTCTGTAGCCCCAAGAGGTGGGTTGCAGAGCAGGGCCTCCATACTTCGAAGCTCTCCGTGCTTATTAAACTGCATAACTTAGGATTTGTTCCGGCTGAAAGGACATGCCAATGAGGCTCCGCAAGAGCACTGCAGGCTTCCAGGGCATCGAAGCGGATGCCAGCCTGCGAGATCCTACCGTTCCATGTGTGCAGCAGGCACTGAAGTGCAGCATGCAAACTGCATAGCCATAAAACCTTGAACTTGAGTCACGGGCCCTGAGCCGCTGATCTTGGTAGTTTTAGTATGCACGTCCCGCCTGCAAGTGTAGTGTCAACTGGGAACATGTCCCTGGCTGCATGGCGACCCAGGCAAGTGTTAGAAGTTCTGCTGCTTGCCATGCTTCAGTTTTCAGGTCAACAGCCCTCTTCCTTTTTTCTGCAGTTGGTTCTGGACTTAGTAGACTTCTTTGTGATCCCCAGCTTTGGGGAGCTTGTGCTAAAAGCACAACTGGGACAACTGCGGCAGATTCGCTGGCAAGTCGAAGCGATCTGCCCCTGACCCAAATGTCCGGGCTGTGCAAGCTTGTTGTGAAGACCATGTGGGTCGTCAGCTGTCCTTCAGGCGTGCCAGGATTTCCTAGCTGCATCTGCCCTTTCATGACCGTCGAAGAAAGCGCAGACACAGGACGTGTAGACAGCAAAATGCGGTTGCAGGCGCGAGTGCTCGGCATCATTCCCTGATAAGGCGACAGCGCGCAACCTCCCGAAATCTGCAGGCGGGCATGCAGCAGCCTACCATACCATCACGTTCTTTTCGTTCCAACATTTGCAGTCATGCTATGCGCGGCTGAGCTGTTGCAGATGTCGAGATCCACCCGGCCTCGCCAAGTTCATGGAGAAATATGGAGCAAGTGCATTTCCGGCTTTAGGTTGTTCACAATAAGGTGAAAGCTGTTCCTCTTCTTTGGGGTCCGTGCTCGAATATCAGCTTTGAGCGCAGAATGCAAAGTTCACAAATTCCCGGTCCTTGTATCTAGACAGCCCTTAGCCCTTAATTGGTCATTGGCGTTCTCAAGTAGTGCTTTATTCTCTGCACGGTGGAGAATGCGGAAAGCAGGCAGTGCTGGGCAGCTTCCGCTAGTTCGCTGGAAGCTAGGCGCCGCATTTTTGAAGGACCTCGAGTATCCAAACATTTGAGCCGTGAGCCCTATGTAGTAGCAGCAGGTTTTGGCAGCATGCCACCTATAGCCATCCAGCAGCCTCAATGTCAGCAGGATCCGTAGTCACGGAGCCTGCAGGCCGCTGAAAGCACTGCTCACCTCGTTGCGGTTTAGGCCCTTCGGCCCCAACGGAATACTCCAATGCTGGGGGGCGGCTTAGCCGCATCCTGTGCCGGGGCTTCTTACTCCTGGGTGGGATTTTAGTCCCCGTGCCTTTAGGGATACGGTTTTTCCACTCGCTTGTCACCTCCACTCTCTTTGAGAGTTCAAGCCTTCGAACCCCAGAGCCCAACAGCTCCAAGCCTGAAGGAACCAGTGAGCCTGATACTCCGATGCAACCAACACTGATGCCAATATCGCCGGAGGCTGGAGGCAAAGGGCTCTTCTTCAGATGCCTGCAGTCAGGCAAGCCCAAGAAGTTGTAGGCAAAGCTCTGATTAACACGCTGACCCAGATCTTTCCAGGCGGGGCTCCAAGTTGAAGCCCGCAGGGTGAGGGATTGGGAGCTGAAGATTCGCCAGAGATGCCGTACCTTTGAGGGTGTAGGGGTTAGGATACAGGGTGGCGTGAGCATTTCGTGAGTGATGAATAACCCGAGACTGCTCTACGCCACTGGAGCTTTGCTTGAAGATGCCGCGGCTTTCCGGAACCAACGTTTTGGCACAGCGTTGCGTGAGCAGGCTTCGTGGAAGCTGATAAGGAAGCCCATCATTGATGCATGAATAGGATGCCAACGCATTAAGCGCATCATGCGTCAAGCCCGCTTTTAGTTCTAAAGCCAGGTGCAGGAAGCATGCACCCGCTTCGCAGCTGATAGTTTGGCGCAACCCCTACCATCAGCAACAAGCGCCATCAGTAGCTATCGGCCCTTTGCTGGGATTTGATCGCAGACCTGCGCCTGATGAGCAGGTGAGCGTTTATCTTTGTTTATATGGTTCGGAAGAGGGCGGCGGGCCTCTCAGTTCTATATAGAGTGTTCCAGACCCTCTCTGGAAGATGGTCGTGCGGCCTCCGTCCAGACCCCTTCGTTCCATACCCTTAATGAGCCATAATGCCTTAGTAGATCGTGCTATGAATTTCCTTCCATACCCAGTTCCATACTGGTTCCATACTGGTTCCATACCTGTTCCAGACTACGATCATTGATCTGAGGATTCCATGCTAGGGCAATACTCAGACACGTTCCGAGGCCTCGTTCCGGAGAGTCCGGAGCAAAGTTGACGACATGGGGTCCCGAAGGCCCCCCCCCTTTTCGATAAACACCCATGTGACGTGGAAGCTGAGGGCCACGCAGCAGGGGCCAGTGGGGAGTGAGGGTCTCGAACTTCTGGTTGGGGGGGCTGGCTCGGAGTCGAGCAATAGTCTTGAAGCTTTAACCTTCTGGTCATCCCCAAGAAGAGCTTCGGGAGTCTTGTTGTTAGTGGGCTGTTGAACATTGTTCTACAATGCTTCGTGTAAATGCACGGATGATGCAGTCTAAAGTTCCAAAACTCACGAAGTGTCTGATATAAAGTCCAAAACAAATCCGTAACTGTGACCCCGGCGTTTGCTCGCGCGCCGAGAGCAAAGGCGAGCGGCACTTGGTTGAGCGGCCGGGGTTTAAACAGAACTTGCGTTTGGCTTACCTAGGCTCCTTGGTGCTGCTGATTTTGTTTGGTTTATCGTGCGAGATCGAGGTCGACGAGTGCAAACTGTCCTGACATGCATTGATTCCCCTGTTGGGAGTCATGCCACTGACTTGTGGTTTCTCCCACATGCATGCGACCTAACTCCACCACATCACTTGTTGGAACTTCGACGCATGTTGCTCTAAGGCTGCAGAAGCACAGGCCCGCTAAAAACTGCAAAGTCCGGTCACTCACGCCGCACCATACAGGTAGCTCCAGCGTGCTGCTCGCATGTTAAAGGCATCTCTAGTGGCAGTTTGTCTACAAGACCACACACCGGGCCGATGACCAGCTGCTGGTCTGGCTACGCAGCCCATGTAGCTATAGCGGGGTTGGTTGCGCCAGGCAGTCGAGATGTTGCCGCATGTCTGCGGCCGCCAGAAGCCACCCTCATGTCCGCACCAGTAGCCCGCAAGCATGCTGCCGCATGTCTACGCCTGCCAGGAGCCACCCTCATGTCCGCTTGCTTGGGAAAAGTCG